GGACACTGCTCTTCAAGCTGTGTATCAGAAATCTGATAAGTATCAGCCGATATGCCTCCTTAAAAATCGGCATCGGCCCCAAAAACCTCTATTGGAGCACCCCTAGTTGCTTTAATTTTTCTATGTCAACTTCAGTCTTTTTCTGAGACCTCACCTAATTTAGTATATATTCATAGGAAAAGGTAGGGAAGAAACCACATTTAATCAAGATTAATTATGTGGGTAGTGTCCCTGAGACTACTAGCTTTTTCAACAGAATTTGATAGTTTCAGAAAACTGCAGTGGCTATTTTCTTAGAATTTCCCAGCACTGTAAAGCAAAATGGAAATCTAAGGAACAGGTGAATAACATGACAATTATTACCATTTAAGTGTTGCTGGAAGTGATTACAACTGATCTAAAATACTGCGTTCACTAGATTGCTTATGAAAATTGCAATTTTTGTCAAACCATAAAGCGTATGGTGAGAACTTTATAGTTGATGGTGGGTGTTTTTCTGTTTCTTTGTTTTTTTATTTGTCAGTATATAAAGCTAAAAAGCTGTTTGCGGATCAGACTGTTAGGTGCTCTTTGTCACTTTTTTGATTGAGCTCTATAGAGAATGAAGAAACTTTTCAAGGGACGGACATTCTCTAACTTAAACTTAGGCTAACCTTTTTGTGGTGGAAGTATTAACCTGAGAGACTAAATGTCTTTAAATGTCAGATACAATTTTCTGTCAACAAATTACAGAAACTACACTTGTTTTTGCAAATTATAAGTTGCAACGCATTAAAGAATACTGATTTTTATCTTTGTTCAGCATTCATTAGCAATCTGCAGACATTGTTCGTTCTTGGGCTGAGACTAGTACCAAAATTTTTCTGTAGCTTTGGGCAAGAACTAGGAATAGGATGATGTCTGGAATAATATCCTCCTTTTCTTTCCCTGTAATAATTCCAGCTGGTACTGTATTTCTGAAGTTATGTTCTGTCAAGATGTGTTAAGGAAAGTATATCCCATAAGAGAATTTACACTTTTAAATCTCAAAGGTAGTTTAAAGAGAATTTCTGAAAGGAATAATGGGTTTTCTATTATGCTTCCATCAGGATCTATCTGAAAAGCCACGTAGGTGAAGGGACAAAGAGCTAAAAGTATAGAAGTATTTCTGACTTGTCAAGTTATCAGTCTTTCACAGACTATAACCAAGAGTTTACTTACACATACCAGACTACTAGTTTACCAGTAGTCACAAGCAAAAACCTCTCTTCTTAAGTTGATGCAAATGGTCATACTTACCACTTAAAGCCTTTTAAATAGCTATGCAAAAATTGATTAGCTAAGTCTCCCTTCCATTTAAGGTGCAAATGCTTTTTTACTTGCCCAAGGTCCAGAATTAGAACCCAAATGTGTGTCTTAAGAATTTCTCCTGACAACCTGAGCCCTGGAGCAGATTTTCATGCTGTTATTTCAATGGCACGGTCTAATCTTGTCTGGAATTGCTAAGTGGATAATTGTCGGTCCTTTTCAGCACTGAATTTTATTTTTAATGTATAGCATATAATTTTTTTAGATGGGCCCTCTGGTTCTTTAAAAATGACAAAAGCAAAACCTGGCAAGCAAACCTTCGTCTGATTTCAAAGTTTGATACTGTTGAAGATTTCTGGGCGTAAGTAAAGTGTTCAATTTCTTTTTTTTTCCCTTTAAATCTGTGTAGTAATCCATAGTGTATTGGAATTGTGTACATGCTTTTACTACCGTAAATGTTAGCATCTGGAGTGGACGTTCAAATCTATTTCAGGAGCTTAAGGGAAAGTCCATTTCATTTTTCCAAATGAACTTTTAAAAAAAGGCACTTGGAAGTAAATAAATTATTTCTGGGTTCTTCTGTATTCTAAATATCAATTTATATTGCCACTTGTATTGGTGGTGATGTAATTGGACATTTATTTAGATTAAGCAGGTGTTTTTTTGGCTCTGTCTGCTCTTGCTATGTATAGGGTTTAAATGTGATATATTATGGGTAGACTAAACTGTGTAGTCATACAACTCAGTTGACGAAGTAACTCTGGTATGCAAAGGCCATAACACTGTTCTGTTTGGAAATTTGAGATTAAAAATGTTGGTTCCCATCCTTTGATATTTCATGGAGACCTGTATTCAGAGTGTAGGTGCTTGGTGCTTCCAAACATCAGTCTTAAAGTGCATCAAGTTAAACACTTGGTCAATATTTTCAGAAATGATTTAAAACTATGCTATTTAAAAAAAACCAAAAAACTTTCTCTTGGAAAATAGCTTCCTCATTTATTAGCCAGGTTGCTCAAGTAAATTGTGTAGATGATAGTTAGATAAGTTCATGGAATATGGGTGAACTGCAGAAACAAGTTAAAGCTGTTTTGAAAAAAAAGCTCTTATTTGAATAAAGATGGCACTCAGCAGACCAATATATGCCCATGTTAGATTGGAAAGTTAGAGACTTTAACAAAACCTATAACTTTCCCAGTAAATTCTTAGTTCTCTTAGTCTTGTAAACATTCCAGAGCATATCATTCTTCAACACAATTGATATGGGAGTCTTGTGAGAATTCAGCAGAGTAACCTTTACACAACTGAAAAGTAGAAGGAACTGCTCTCCCTACTCCCCCTTCCCCTCCCCCTTGCAGTTAGGAGCCAGTTTCAAATATTACATTGGTCATAGGAATGAAGTTTGAATAGTGTTGCTTTCCTAGTTCTTGTTTTAATGAATTTAACGTTTTGGTTTTCCAAGTTTTGCAGGTTGTGTTACTAGAGGAGGGAAGCAGAAGAGTCGGTTAGAAAAGGAGTCGTGCTGTTTGTTTAGCTTTTCTTTAAACACCAGCTAGCTCCCTTCTTCTGTGTAGAAAAATCAGGATTTTGTTACATGCAGCTCTCTATATATGAGAGGTAGGGAAATCTGGATGTGGCAACTTGAATACTTTTATTGGTATGGATGTAGGCTACCCATAGATGTAATAAAAATTGACATGCTAGAGAGAGTGGCTTTGGACAAATTTACTATTCATGCTGTCCATATGGGAGAACTTGATGTCCCAGGGGATCTTTCTGTAGAGTTCTGTTCAGGCAGCCAGCATTGGCATTTGCTCCATAGGGTTTGTCTAAGGGTAACAAGTTTTGATCCTGAAGACTTTAGATGTGGGGTGTGAATTGGTTGTGAGTTTTTGCTTTCTGGCTACTGCTTTGATGAGCAAAGGAAGACTCAGTTCCATTAATCCCATCCTTGTTTGGGAAGCTGGTAGATGGAGATCTAGTATTCTGATTTTTTTTTTTTTTTTTTCCATACTCTAAATCAGTGGTGCTCAACCTTTTTGCTCCATGGGCCGTGCCCAGTCTGTCTGTGTGCCAGAACCTGCCAGCTGGCTTGATCCAGCACATGGGACTTCGATACTGTCATGCAGGGGGCATTTTGGCCAAAATGCGTTGACTAAGGAGGCAGGGGCAGCAGCAGGTTGGCCCTAATCCAGTTGCATGGAGCTTGGGAAATTAACAGCAGTGGGGTGGCGGGGGTGGCAGTATTGATTGCCACTGCTCCCTGCTGCCAAATTTTCCAACGCATGGGGAGCCCTGCAGGCTGGATGCCATGGCTCTGTGGGCCAGGGGTTAGATATTTCTGGTCTAAATACATGGTTCTTAGCTAATCTGGCTGCTAAGAAGTAAGCCTGAGTTTGCTTGTTACCAGGTTCTGAGTGGATAACTGAATAGAACACTTGCTGGCTTAAGTGTCTCTGGTTAGGAATTGGATACAGTGGTAGTTTAAACCATTTTGGTTTTTTTTCACCCAGTCAGTGAAACTCTTCACAGTAGATGGTGTTTTTTTTAGAGATGCTACTTAAATGAAGGTCCAGTTTAAATTACTGTATCTTCTTGCCTTCAGGTATTAGCTGGATCGTTCTTTAAAACAGTTGCTGGTCCTTTATTTTAGCAGTCCTTTTTTGGCACCTGGTCTGGAACTGCAATTTGTTGTCAGTCCCGTTCTAAGCTCTGCGCTTAATCCAACAGCAGAGGTTGTAGAGTAAGGGCAGGGAATGCAGCCGTGTGGAGAGCTGCTCCAGGCCTGGGATCTTGCAGCGGTGACAGCATGGTCCAGAGCCAGGGCAGAGCTGCAGTCGGCTGTTCCCAGCCCCGGAGCAGCTCAGTGCCCAGCTGCTTGCCCTCCCAGTGCTGCTGGGGCCAGTCTCCCTGGGAACCCTGGCCCTGCACTGTCACAGAGTTGCTGCTACTGGAGTCTCCATGGAAACCAGCGTCAGTGACACAGGAAAGGGCTGCTGGGAAATGGAGTCTGGCCACCAGCTGGAGCCTCTGTTTGCCCACCCGTGTTGTAGAGGCAGCATTTCTTCCCAGTTCAGAGTACTCTAAGCCCACTGTCACAGTGTTCTTTCTCAGTTTTTAAATGTTTTTTTTTTTTTCCTGCACATTGCTCAGTGGTGAACTTACTTTTGGCACAGTATATGATTTTTGTGGTATTTCATAATCTTGAACTCTTGTCGCTCTTCCAGCCTTATTTGGATCTCACATACTCTGCCTACAGCATTGAAGCTGAAAATAATTATATTAGATGTGATAAGGTGGAATAAGTCTCTTAAAACAATGCTTCTGGGCAGAAAAGCCATAAAAATCTTATCCTTTTATCTTTTTATTACACTAAACAAAACATTTATTTTATTTGGTGGCTTGTCCTGAATGTTTACATGATGAATTTATGAAATGTCAGGTGAAATTACCTCAAGTCAAAATTTGGTGAAATTATGATAGTATTTCTCAAAACTGAATTGGGAATTGACATTATATAATCAGTTGCTCCCCTGCTGCTCCAGAGTTTCAAATTCTTCAGAGAACATGAATTGTTTCTATTCTTCTAAAAAATTAGGGTAGCATCAAAAAACTTTTAAAAATAAATTTCAACCTCAGTTCAGTTTGACATGATTGGAAAAAAAAATGTTTATTTCAGGCTAATCATCTGAACAGTAAGGATTAAGTTTTCTTCAACTTTTCAAGAAAGAGTGTATCTTAATTCTGCTTAGCATTTTAAATTCATTTTATCTTATTGCTTTGTTTTTCTTTTTGTTTTAAATAGTTTATACAACCATATCCAGCTGTCTAGTAATTTAATGCCTGGTTGTGACTACTCACTCTTTAAGGTATGCCAGTCACTTTTTTTTCTTTATATGTAAATGACAATTTCAGATAAATGTATTATTACATAATTCAGACATCATAGCCAGTTTTTTTCAGAAGTGACTGGTGATAATGGAAGCCAATCTGGAAGTGTCTTTAAACAGTCTGAGTTTGAGACAGTGCTGAAAAGAGCACTTCACTTTGAAGTTAATGCTGGGTACTCAGCAATTCTGAAAACTTTGGCTCATGACCCTTCTGGTAGACTTAAACTCATCCCCTTGTATTAGTGCTTGCATTGTAACATCTTTACAAGGTATGTGTTAAAATACTTGATAGGCCTCAATGGTTTTTCACAGTAGAAAAGATCTTCAATTCTGGGAGGCATGAAAGACCATTCTGGGAGGCACTAAAAAAGAAATGTTGTTTTAGCTTTGAGCTCCTCTAATAAAAAAAAAAAAAAAATTCTGGGCTCCTCTTTTCCTCATATGGGTTCACTTAACACTAGATCCATGAAGGGGCTCTGAGAATAAATATAATCCCAAATTAGGTTCCATAGGTAATACACAGGGTAAACTAGGAGTTACTGAGCAATGGGATTGACAGTAGCCAATAAGAGATGCTGAAGAGAAGGGTGCATCTGAAATCACACCCCTCTAAACTTAGATATCTGTGTGAACTCAGAATTTATGGCCTGGAATTCCTTCCTGCACTCAAGGCACCTAAGTTGTCCTTTTGGGCATAGACAGCTAGCATACCTTTCAGTCATTTGATTGTCCCTCCTCCATTCGGTCCCGCATGCTCCACTGGGCATCTGCCAGCCTTGTTTGTGAATTCTAAATGGCTTCTGGACATTTGGGTCCTGTAATGCTCAGTTGTGATGATTATTCTAGGCATACTCAGTAGTAGCAGCATTCTCGGGAACCTTAGCAATGAAAATGTAGCTTTTTACACACTTACAAGGTTTGGGTTGGGTGGGGTGGAATTTAGTCTCATGGTTCTTGCCCTTTCACGTGTCTGACTTGTGTCTAGGTTCTCTTTTGGGTCTGGTCCTTAGTGTTTATGGAAAGTATCAGTTATTCATTTTCTGTGAATGTGCAACAGGTACAAAACTAGCAACCGCGCTGCACACTTTCCTGTATTATCAGGCGTGTCCTTGAGTCTTGACCTAAAGGATTTACCTGTAAAGGTGATGAAGTAGTGTGACCTCTGTAGCTGCCAATAAGCATGCCAAATGTGGAGAAGTGAAATGACGCCACTAGCTCCCTTTATATTGCTGCACACTTCATCAGCTTTTATCTAGAGTTGTATAAAGCAGAGATAATCAAGTGCCCTTCTCTGAAGTTACTAACAGAGACATTTTTCATCTTCCTGTTGATTGGGTGTTTTCAGTCATGCCTCTTTTGATGACTGATTTTAAATAACACTTCATAGTCAACATAGGTCTGAGAGTGATTTCTGGCTCAGTGCAGCAAGCATCACTAAGTTTCGGTGCAAAGCTTTTTCTTTGTGCATCAGAAAGAACACATTTTGTCTTCTAAATGGTAGATTGATTTTGGTTTTTTTGCATGGCTGATAGGTTCAGGTTTCTTTATTCTTGCTATATCTGCTCTGAAAATTGAGACAGTAAGGCAGATGTTCTTTATGCCATTTTATTAAATCACTTTTTGATGAGAAAAATTCCCATTTTGGACCTGCCTAAATTAAAGCGCAGAACCTAATTGATCTGACCAAAGATGCACCAGATGTCAGTGATAAAACTAGGACTACATCTCAAGAGCTTTTATCCTAAGTAGTGGTTATTTTGCCTGGCTTCATGCAGGTCAGAACAGATGTCTAACCTGAGCTGTATCTGAATCAATTATCTGCAGAATATTTGTAGACAAAACTAGTTGAATTTGGTTCTTAAACTTCACAGTTGCTTAACTTGAAACTGGTGGCGGTAGTGGTATAAATATTTTGTGTATTTATCTGTGATACCATGATATTCTGAGGGACAATTCACTGCTATTTTTCAAATTCTTTATCAAGGTGGGGTTAACTCAGACAACTGTAAATTTTGTTCCTGTATTACTGTTTAAATACTTTTCCCCTCCTTTTGTTTGGGCTTGTAATTAAACAGATAATCCCATGTATTTGTTTTTTAATTTCTAATTATACATTATAGGATGGAATTGAACCAATGTGGGAAGATGAAAAAAACAAGCGAGGAGGACGGTGGCTAATTACACTAAATAAACAGCAGAGACGAAGTGACCTTGATCGCTTCTGGCTAGAGACAGTAAGCTCTGTGGCAATGTATCTTGCAACTAAACAATCATGTTTTATTTTTAAAGTCTAATTAAAAATGGGGTTTCCATTTTCAGTCTATAGCAAGCTACAAAATATTCTTTGGAAGATCTTGCCTGACAATAGTTTTTTGTCATACAGAACATGGATTGTATTGAAACATGAGATTTGAAATCCAAAGCATCTGTAAGCCTGTGCAATGTCCCATAAACAAGTGAATGAATAGGTGTCTTCTACTCCTAAGGGTATTTGGCATAACCTTACAGCAACTCGTGATGCTATATGTGTCCCTAACACTGTAATACTGTTATTTCTATCCTAAGTAAATGGTTCTTATTTACAATGAAAAAGCCTTTTTAGCAAGAGACCTCCAGACTTTATTTATATTTTGAATACAGTATTATAAACCAGAAGAAATTCTCAAATACAAACCATTGTGGTTTAAAGTGAAGAGTATGTTATGCTGTCCATCTATGTAATAGTTTTCCTGATCAAGTAAAGCATGTTGCTTTATGCATTTTGCCACTCCATCTAATCTTCTGCAAAGAATCTGATTAACCTGACTGTTTTCAAACCTTTCTTAAACTGAAGATGAAAAGCTATCCTGTTTAAGTTAAAAGGCTGAACTCTTCAGTTGCTTGCAAATTACTTCATGGGACCTGAATGTTGTCCTTTTTCTGTGACAGGCATAGTGGTCTAAAACACATTAGCCAAGAATCACTAGGAATATAGAAGCCAGTTATCTCCGGTTAAAATTCCAAAGACTGTTTTTCAAGAGAGAAACCTGGAGAGGGAAATGGAATCTCTTTCCACAATGCATTTAAAAGTGTTATAATGTCCTAGCACTGTTTATAAGCACAGGCAGACTGGGTGGCTACTGAATTCATGGTGGAAGTGGGATGCACTGCAGCTCCTTTAATCTTGCAGGCTCCCTTGCACCCCTCTCCCCCCTGATTGGTGGAGGGGCCTCACTTGTGGCTCACTCATAATCGTTGGGAAGTTGAAAACTGTGGTTTTAAATAAATATAGTGCTGTTTTTGCCTCCTGCTGCTGATTGGCTATGCAGCCTCAGCAGCCCCACTCCTTGCTGCTGACTGGCAGGGAGGCATAAATGGTGCCATATTTAAAACAGCTGTTTTTGCTTCCCTGCTGCTGAGGAGAGATCAATGGGACTGCTCTGCCAATCAGCAGTCATGGGAGAGGTGCATGGGGGAACGTGCAAGATAAAAGGAGCCCACTTACATCATGAATTTAGTAGGTCCCTACACATTAGGGAGCAGTGTCATCCTCATTCCTCCAATCATTTTTCACAGTCTGCTTGCTGAACCAAATCAAAACCCTTTCCTCATTTTTCAGCTCTCTGGACATTAGTCCACAAAGTCTTCTGCTCCAAACTTGGGTAATCTAACTGCATACTATTTGACTGAAAAGATCTGAAACTGGTATTTATTTCATTTTTTGTCTTAATTGCGCTGTCTTAAGCATCCATGTAGCATGCTTATCTTTGCACAGTGCTTCTAGTTATTAAACAGCATTTTAAACAACATTCTTTTATTACCTGATTCTGTAAAACTATGGCATTGGTTAAACACTGATACTTGAAATGTCTTGTCTGGCACAAGCCTCACAGGTTATTGCTTTTGGTACAGGTTTCCCTCGCTTTATGTGGGTTCTGTATGTGCGAATTCGCTCTTATACAGTAACCCTTTTATACCAAACATTCGTTATATGCAAGGTAAATTCACTCTTATGCAATCAGTGTGGTGGAAGCCCACGGTCAGCTGCTTTGTGCGGTGCACTGTGGAAGTGATGCGCATCAAAATATAGTCTCCTGTGTGGATCTATGCTCCTTGCTTGTTGTCTGCAACCTGTGTTTTTGTAGTTGCCAACCCCATTATGGCTGCTAAGCACCTGCTAGCTTATCTCCTACCCCTCTCCCTGGTCCATCAGTGAATTCTTTACCACCCTCTCTTCACACCAGCTAAACGTTCACCACCACCCTGTGCTTGTGTATACTGTCTGCTGTTGGTGAGCACCAAAATTGTCTTGTAAAAGTGGTAGAAATGGATCTGGGGATCAGTACAGTTAAGGTCTTGGAATGTATCCTTATTTGTTACATTGTAAAGTGGTTTCCCTTTAGGCGAATTTGAGTTATGTGTTGTTTTCCAGGAATGCATGTACCGCATAAAGCAAGGGAATTGTACTTGAGTAAATATAGTGCACATACGCTGTAGTTTTATAGATCTGTTATAAAAATTTGGTTCATTCACTAGTGCACTGTGATCATGTTATTTCTTTAGCTAAGTTAATATTTGCAGCTCTCAGCAAAGTCATAAGACTTTAGCTCTAGTGCTGCTTGGAGTTTGATTTTTTGGTTTGACCTTTTTTTAAACTTTAAACATGATTTAGAAAACTTACCTTAAGATAATGGCAGCATATAACACTTCAGCTGTTTATTTATGGGGATGTATTCTGTTATGGATGAATTTCTCTCCAGTCTGTCATTATAAGAGTCTTGTGTGGTGGACTGCTGCACTTAGCACTTGGCTAGATACACACCAAGAGCAGCAAAAGGAAGTGTTAACTTTCTTTGGTTAGTTTTTTGTTTTTGTCAGAAATTGTACCATTTGCAAAGCATTCACTCATCAGCTAGATACTGCTTTGGTTGTTTGGAAACACTATTTTTATAATTTCCTCATTGTTTCACAAGTCAGTGCCAAAGCCATTAGTAGTCTGCCTCGTATTCCTAGTCCAAAGGAAGAGACTTAGTTCTGCATCCCACCCTTTTCTGGGGGCAGAAAGTCATTCTCATTGGTCCATTATAGCAAGTATGCTTTGTATGGTTTTTGCTTTGTGTACGCAGGAATGTTACAGGTTGCCTCAGTGAATCCACGTGCAGTTTGCTGAAGTGCAAGGCCCTCTTGCTGCTTGAGTTTGCAGAGGAGGCATGTTGGGGCCCCAGGAAATTAATATACTGTTATTGCCTCTAGTAGCTGTATAGCAACCTTTGGAAAATTATGATGTTGCTTAATGTAAACTGCTTTATTTACAATATGATGTATGCCTGAGGGCTACCAGGGAGCAAGCAAGATTCCCAAACACCTAAAAAGGTGAATAGGGAAGAAGAAAGAACACCATACTTACTAGAGAGGGTTGGAAAGATGGTAGGAATTTCATGTTGGCACTCCAGGTAGAGAAAAATGTCCAACAGTGGTTGGGGAGATAGATAATGTATTTTTGTTGCTAATAGAAGAGATAGTATTTAAAGATTACAGCTTTTAGACCAGTAGACAAATGGAAAAACTCAGAACTCCAAACTTAAAAGAAACTGGGAAGGATCCACAGCTACCTAGTTAAATCGCGTGTTTTTGCTGCTTTTTTTTTTTTTAACAACCAGGAACAAGGTAGAAAGTATTCTGATAATTAGGAGTGTATGTTGCTTCAGTCTCTGCAAGATGGTTGGATTTCCACACAGGATAAATTTTATATTTAATATTGCTTAATGTAAACCACCATTTACAACAGAAGATTCCATTATGCGGCAGGATTCTTTGTAATGACTGCTGGTTTTTTAATGGTCACTCTTTTTTAATCTCGTAGCTGCTGTGCCTTATTGGGGAGTCCTTTGATGACTACAGTGATGATGTATGCGGCGCTGTTGTTAATGTTAGAGCTAAGGGTGATAAAATAGCAATATGGACAACTGAATGTGAAAACAAGGATGCTGTTACGCATATAGGGTAAGTCACACTTGCTATTCAGTGTCCTAGAGAATAATGCTATAGATGTTATATACTTTAAGGTAATGTGTTTTAAAGTCAGATAACTGGATAGAAGATATGCTAATTATCTGCATTTGGAAATTGTGGAATATACTTGAATAATGATGTTTTGACAAAAGTCTTAAAGTGACAGTGCACCTACTGTCTCAAGCAGTTACAGAGTACTAATCTTGCACGTCTGTGAAATGCATACAGTAGTTAGTCTAAGCAGCTTTGTAAAGTAGAAATAGCAGTTTGAGGAATGGGACTGCAAATCTGTTACAAAAGCTTCATGAGCTCTTCTGACAGGTATGTTTGCAGTTGGGTATTTCAGGTTCTACTGGAACATGCCAGAATTCAGAGAGCAGATGTTCCAGCCCCCACACAACATAATAGCATAATTTCAGGTAGAAAAAAGTACAATATGGCTTTCTGGGATGTGTGTGTAACACTAGTCTGAAAAACTGAATACAGTCTCTGTACAGCTATTTGCACATGCTCTTTATACACACGGATCTCCAAAAGGAAGAGCTATTTCTTCCTGCCTCTGGGGCAGGGGGCTGGACTTGATGATCTTCAGAGGTCCCTTCCAGCCCTAATGTCTATGAAATCTATGAAATTTGTATAGTTCAGAGGTTTTGGTGAGGGATATGAAGTCACTTTGCTAGGCAACATACGTGACAGTAGATTGGCAACTGAAGTGAAAGCAAGGATGAATAGTATTGGGCCAGAAGACTGACTCCTTTTTAGGTAATTATGCTAAATGTCCTCAGCTAACTAGCAAATGTTGCTACAGTGGGTGGAATTTTTATCACATCAATTTTAAATATAAACTGCAAGACAAGTTATTTGTATCTTCTTTCTAACTCAAAACCGCTTAATTTTGTGTGTTCTCTTCTGAAAAGAGAATAACAATTGTAACACTTTATCTTGAGTTAAGTCATTGGGAGGACTTGTCCTTAGGACTCAGTTCAGATTGAATATTGATTCAAGCCAGTTGAAATTTTGCATGAAAACAGAATTCTCAGTTTCAGCATCATTTCTCCTGAGATGTAACTGCTGAGACTTTTGCTGACAGTACCAAAAGTGCATAGGACAATACTATATGTTATGAAAAGTAAAATATGGAACTTTTCTGACACGCGCAATGTTTTGAAAAAACTTCCTTGACCCATTCTAGTCAACTTGAGAAGAGAATAGTGGTTTCTTTGTTTGTTTTGAATTTTGTTTACTGTTAAAATCAATCATGGTATCAGCTTGAATGTCTCGGGGATCTGCCTTTGTTGTCTTCATGAACAAGTCTTTCCTTTTCTTTGCTAGGTTTTTAACTTCTAGAAGTACACATTAGCACGTTAGCTCATTTTCCCTGTTGAATGGTTATTGCATGTAAAAGAGATTTCATCTGATGTACTTATGGTACAAGTAGGCAAGTCTTTGGCAGTAGGCACGTAGGCTACGGACAGAAATTACACACAAATTGGAATAAGTGATCGGGACCTGGTTCAAATCTGTAACACAGGAGAAGTTCAGCACACACAAACTGCTTTCAAAATGGCTGAAACTGGTTTAAGAGAAACCTGGATGGATGTAGTATCAGACTTAACTGCTTTAAGTTAAATCAGTTTATTGAACTTCTTTTCCAGATCCCCTCCAGATTCAAGTTACCTCATCCCTCAGCATCCCAGGATTCTTTGCACCCCCTCCTATCCCACCGCAGGGTGGTCCAACCAGTCTGCTTCAGCCAAACAGGGAGGCATGCTCTAATGCCCCCTGGGTTCTGGCTTGGGGCAGTGTAGGCATGTGGCTGCATTTCTGGAATCAAAAGTAAATGTCTCTTCACTTGGTTAATGGTTTGATCTCTTCACTGTAGACTAACCTGCAAAAATTGAATCAATTCAGCCTCAGGCTTTTTGACTGTCTGCACTTAGTTCAGTTGATACTCTATGGCTGTGGTACAGATTGTTTGTTAACCCAGGATATCAAGTGTCAGCTTGTGCTTCTGAATGGTATTGATACAGGAAACTCATTATTCGTGGGTTTGGCATTCACCATTTCAAATATTTGCGAATGCTGAACCTGCATCTTAAATACACTTACAGGAGCTCCTTGGGAGCTCCACGCTTACTGCCGCCACCGGCCTAGCTTTTTAAAAAGTGAAGATCACACAAGTGGCACCAACCACAAGTATAGATAGAGATTTAACTAAATACCACAATGCTTCTATTTTGTTGTTTTAGGTGACAGCTCTGCTATTCTGTTTTGTTTTTTATCCAGTAATAGGTTACTAGTTTGCTGCTGCTCTGAAAAGACTATATTAAAGTAATAGAGAATATTAACTCTAGAGTTAGGAGAATATGGCAAATCAGGATTCCATAAATAATTTTAAATGTCAATTTATGATAGGTTGTACCAAAAATATTTCAGAGGTCTTTCATTATTAATCTGCAGCCAAATCAGTTTGTTCTCTGATCTAGATGGAACGCTCATTGGGCAGATGTTATTTCATTCAGATTCTTACTGCCATGAACATGCAGGATGTGTTAGTGATTTTTCCTGTCTTGGTCAGAGCTGGACCAGCATTCTAGCTCAGTATCTTCTCTTCCAGCCACCAAATCTATCTGTGGGTTCAATAATTGTTATGCGAAAACTCCAGATTTCATAAAGGAAAGGAAAATAAACTTATATGACAGTGCGTAACTGTATTTATTCTTTGATTAAATGTAAGCTTTTAGTTCCCAAGAATCAGTTTTCCTACCCATTCATTTTATGGTATCAATTCAAATAACCAGCCATTTCTGAAATGAATACAAGACCTACCTCATGCAAAAAAATATTTTTTTATTTAGAGCTGCTATATGAAAACATAGTAATTTTTGGTTGCCTCTTTGGGACAGGTCTATGAAAGTACTTAGGTCTGTCTCCCCTCATCTCTTAGTACTCAGTGCCCTTGTCCTTGTAAGAGTACAGTGAAAACTGTGCTTCAGGCTTATAGCTAAGCAGCAAAAGAAGTTGAACTTTTGAAATGAGATTCATATGCATATACATAACTGTTGTAGAATCCTCGTACTAGAATTGTTTCTAAGTGGAACATTAACATTTTTGCATTGATGTGTCAGAAGGTCAAAAAGAATTCTGGTGTCATTACTGTCTACTAAGAGCATTACTGAAAAATCGGTTTTCTTTTGTGTTTTCCCAGGAGAGTATACAAGGAAAGATTAGGACTTCCTCCAAAGATAGTGATTGGTTATCAATCCCATGCAGACACAGCTACTAAGAGCGGCTCCACCACTAAAAATAGGTTTGTTGTTTAAGAAGACACCTTCTGAGTATTCTTTCATAGGAGACTGCGTCAAGCAATCGAGATTTGGGAGCTGAACCAAAGCCTCTTCAAAGCAGAGTGGACTGCATTTAAATTTGATTTCCATCTAAATGTTGCTAAGATTTGTGAGAAGTCTCATTCGCCTTTGTCTTGTACTTCTGTGTTCAATTTTTTTTCTATTTTGGCTGAAGTAACCATTATTCAATCAAAGAATTTCAGTACACATTATCCCCAGAATCCATAAATGTTTTTCTGGCCCACTCTGTAATAGCTTAGTAGGAACATTACTATTACAAAAACATTTGTTTATCCACAGTATTCAGAAATGAAACTGCATTTCTAGTCCTTGCAGAAAAATTACTTCTGTTTTCCATTTGCCTTGTATGCAGTAACATTTTGCTGGTTTGGAAAGAGTATGGTGCATACAGTTTTCTAGCAAATTTTTTACACAGCATTGTCTTTGCTGTAACCTATGCTGATGGCTGCTAGATTAATTTATTTGTTTCCCTATTTGATAACATTAGTGATATTTTGATTTCAGTTGTTTTTGCTCATGTAACATTTGGTGAAGAATCTGGGAATATGACAAAGGTGGAATAAACATTCATTTTGTGCATTCTTTGGTAATTTTTTGTTTTTTTGTAACATCAAAGCTTTGCTACAAATTTATGCATTTCAGTCAAATCAGTGATCTGTTTGTGTGATTTCCTAAACATAATTGTGGATTTTTTTTTAAATGTAACACCATAAATTACATTCCTTACTAGAAATAGTATGTCTGTTTTTGTATCTTATGCTGTATTTTAACACTTTGTATTACTTAGGTTATTTTGCTTTGGTTAAAAATGGCTCAAGTAGAAAAGCGGTCCCATTCATAATAAGACAGTGTACAAAACTGTAAATAAAATGTGTACAGTGAATTGTCTTTTAGACAACTAGATTTGTCCTTTTATTTCTCCATATCTACAGCAAGTATTTGTACTTCTTGTGACAAGGCAGTCTCTACTGTGGCTTCTATTGTAGTGTATCTTCCAAGAGAGAGTAAGTCTGGAGCTATAGTTTATTACTATGTTTATTAAAAATTGTAATAAATCTAATAGATAGCATCCTTCTCCAAAATGGAATTACCTTGATATGGCTATTGTTTTTTCTTAAAGGGCAGTTTAACTGATCTTAATGTATTGTGCTGCTTTCTGGTCAGTGTTCATAGAAGTCAAAGTTGAAAGGGGGACAGGATAAAAGTCTGGTTTCAGCAAAGTGCTGAGGTGAATAATTCTGCTTAGTGATGCAGCTACAATATGAAGTACCAATAATACACAGTAAAGAGAAATGGCTGTAAAGGAGTAAAATATATCAAGAACTAGACAACAGATTGTCTTTTTGCAGGTGTGTGGAAGTCTGCTTTTTGATTGTGGAAGTTGGTTCAGAGAGGGGGGAGCTGGAGTTTGGACTGACTTATGGGAAGGGGGAGTGGGCAAAACAGGAGGAAATTAGAGTGTAATGTTTTACAGCCATGTAAAGGTGCACCACAGCAAGCTCTTTTCCATTTCAAAAGCATGCCATAAATAGCTTAGTGCTGATCAGTGTTGTATTGTTATATAACAATATTGTTAAACTTAGCATTTAGGGTTATTTAGGTGTAATTCACTAAGTTAATTTGGCTGGGTACAGGGGGTTGAAGAAGGAATTGCAGTTGGTCAGCCCTGAGTTCACACTAATGAGTATTTTGCATTTGCTAAATGTGGCAATTCAGATTGAAATCTTATATGAAATCTCATATTAAATATTTAATCAGAATGAGAAGTATGTTGTCCGTATTTGCATTTGGCCTTGACAGTACTATTTAGGAGGAAGTTAAACTTGTTTGGCGAGAATTGAGGTTGTAATTGTCCAATTTGGACAATTTTTCTTTCAGATGGAAATTCAGAAATTTTTTTCTCATTAAAATCTTGTTTGAAACTCCTATCTTGACTCTTGTTAGTGTTCCTCTGTCAGAAAAAACTTATTTTTACCAGAACAGATTTTATCTTTAGAGAAATCCTGAGCTGTCAACTCAGTAAAATTCTGCTTTTAACTCTGTTAAATAAGGGTGTCTCGAGTGGGGAGAACTAGCCAATCTACTAATGTTACTATGCAACTTAAAAGTTTGCAGTTTTAATAATATTGTACAAATTAAGTGGGCTAATGTTGCCATCTTTTATAAAATCCCTCATTCTTAACTAATGTAATTCTTTGTACTTTCCAAACACGTTAGGTATTTTAGTATGTTTTAAAAATTAAGTGTTTTTTTTTCTTTCCAGCGTCTCTCATATTAATACCCTTTCAGAGGGATGTCTATTTTGGTCAAAATTTGAGTTTGACTGTGAACTATAAAAATGCATCACTGTATGGTGTTCTCTCTAACTTAGACATCCTGAAGCCAGCAAAGCATAACACTTAGGATATGTTTCTGGATATGTTTCTTACTTACAAGTTTTCTAATTGTATTTTCTTAGTATGGTACATTTGTGGTTTTTATTATTTTTTTTAAAGAAAAAATGCAGCTATCTCTGTTTGGAGTGCTGGAGGTAGGATTACTAATGTGACAAAGGTAAATTTGAAAATGTAGGTAACTCCTTCACAGAGTAAATTGAGGTCTACTAAGAGGTGCTAATGATGATGTTAGTAGTATTTATGCTTTTGCCTGATGAGTGTGATAAAATACCTAGTCTTGGGCAGTGACAACATGCTGCTTATTTAAAGATGGTTATATAAAAAGAGAATAGAGTGCATTATAATGAGCACCTTTTTTAAGATGTGTTTTATTGGTTAGATGCTATTTAGCTTTTGTTAGGCTTAGTGTCTAAGCCAGTGATTCCCACCCTTTTAGATTCAAGGCACCCCTCCATAACTTATGAATTGAGCAGCAACCCATTTAAAGCAGATTTATTACAGCGCGTACCTCCTGGCCAAAGTGGGAGAGCCCAAGCCTGCCCTTATCTGCGTACTTCCTCACACTTCCTGCAACACCCTTCAAATGATCTCATAGCACCCCAGGGTGCCCTGTCACCCTGGTTGAGAATCAGTGCTCTAAGCTATTTCGTTAATAGCTCCCATTTTCATAATTTTATTATTTCCTTTTATAGGTTTGTTGGTAAAATAGATTTTATGTTCAGTGAGCTGATGTCTCACTCAACATACTTCTGTTGTTTCATGAGACAAACTGGTGTCTCAGTTGCATTTTTTAGCCTAAATGCAAGACCTCACAGTTGAGATTGTCCAGTAGTTGTCATGGTCTAGAACTTGAATATCTTAGTAGTCATGTTTCAAGATTTGCTATGTAGACAAAGCCCTTGTAAAGTAGCCCTGAATTACCTTAAGCTTTAACCTGCTCTAGAAACTTTTGTGTTAAAGTCACAGTCGCCTCAAGTGTAGTGTCAGCCTCCTGTATGAATGTTAGCAAGTGCAAGAAACAGCTTTTTCAGCAACTAGCCCTATACCTTACACTTGATACTAGGAGAAACAAGTGACAATGAATTTAGATGACTCACTTTTTGTTCATGATAGCATGTGAGATTTAGGTGCATACATGCAGGAGTAGTTCCTATTCCAAAGAGGCTAACTCTTAAAGTACTTTAAAGTATCATCAGGCTATGCTAACAATTAAATTATTTTACAATTTACAGCAATACAGATTTTAAGGTGTTCAATATCCCAGTGGTAATCACAGTGTAAATAACTTGACTGTGTTTTGAACTAGAGGCCTGAGCAGTTGAAAACTGGCATATTTAATTAAAGTAAATCTGTTTCTAACTTTAAGAAACCTAAACTACTAGCAGTGAATATAGCAGTCTATCAATTCTTAAATTACAAACTCAATGTAAACATGATTAAAACCAACATGCAAAGTATTTTGGCCTTCATAATGGAATATTTTTAAGAATACAAGTTTGAGGGGGATTGAAACTTGGTAAAAAAAAAAATCAATACAAATTATTCATGAGTGTTGTAACTGTACCCTTGTAGGAAAAAACCCATGAAAGCGGGGAGAGAGATGCTGGAGGTAAAAGTCTTGTGAAGCTTCTGAAAGAAATGTATATGATGTGTTTTTTTTTAATATTAGGAGTATTTTAACAAAAGGAAGGGTAGAGCTATGTGGTAAGGAATATTTTGGCTTTTAGGGTAGACTTATTTAAAGTCTGATCCTGTTTGTTCTATACTGAAAAGAGAAAAAAATGTATCCAATTCCATAACTTGATTTCTACGTTACCTGTATGCCATGATTTGCAACTTGAAAAGTTCATTTACAACTATTCAGCAATGTTAAATATACCAGAAACACATGTGCACTGAATTCACTGAAAGCTGCTTATTAAATATAGAAAATTATCTCTACTGATCAGACATCAAAGGATTATTTAGATGAGGTAATACAGCATGTCAAACCATTTTTGTTTTTGTTTTTGTGTGGGGGTTTTTGGTCTGTGTTTTGGTTAAGGAAAAATTCTAAAACTTATGAGAGTTTGGTCTTTGAGGATGCAGACAGAATTGCAGCTTCCAGCTGTAACTTGGAACAATGTTTGCAAAGTGTTCTGAGTTGCATCATCACCCCAGACCAAACAGAAATTCATTGTTGGTTCCGGGGGGAGGGGAATCTAGTTGTGGGCTGGGAGCCTGTAGCCAGGTTCCCAAATCAAGAAGTATAGTTTTCTGCCAGTGCTTGCTGTTTTCAGAATGGAAAGGGGGAAAGGCAGCAGAGGGAGCTTGATTTTTGGGCTCCCCAGCTGGTGCTGAAGGGTGGGGTGGGTGTATTGGAGCCCCTTCCCCACCTCAGGGAGGCTCCAGTATACTGGCTGCACCCTCCCAAGGGTGGGGGATAGGGGAGATGAAATCCCCTGACTGAACTCCCTCTGCCCCCTTCCCCCCCCTCCCATTCTGAAAACAGCAACACAAGTTACAAAAGAGACTGCATTTTGAAACATCTTTATCTGATGCCTCATGCAATGAGGGGTCAGATTTTTACCCAGTCATGTTGGCCATTTTTTAAGATGTCTGCAGCCATGTACTTTTGTGGTCACAGTTATAAACTGCTTTCTCTGGCCAGATCAAGTGAAAATTGTCACTTCTGTCCCTGAAAATAGTCTCTCCAAGTCAGCACCTGGTAGCTAAAAGGGTCTGTTCTTTTTAAGTGCAATTCATTGTAGTCTCATGAAATACACGCATACTTATGTGTACTGTTATATTTTCTCTTAAATCTCTGCTATCAGTATTAAAAATGTGAACATTTCTCAAAGGGCCATCCTCTTAATAGCGCCCAAACCTAAAGTCATGAATAAAAACTGTTATTCAGACATTCCCTGAATATTGAAATTTCTCTTTGTCTGTTCTATGGCATCTAGCCTAGAGATGATTGATGGATAGAATTTTTATTTGAAGGGGTGAGATTTGCTACTTGTGGCTATTGTTTGCTTCATGAAGTAGTTGAGATGATCTCTGTTAAGAGAAGAAAGAGAGGTGCATTTACAGATGGATCTTCCACAACTGTAGAGGCCCACAATTTAGAACAGCAGTTCTCAACTGAGGTGCTGAAAGACCCTTCAGGGGTGCTGCAGTGCAGGTACCAATACTGCAGCCAAATAAAACTGCCCTGCATGCCTGCTGTACAGCCAGACTGGGAAGGTCTGCACCATGCATACACTCTTCTGCCTCGCTAGGGTTTTCTGATAACCCTAAAGCCAGGAGAGCGGGCTTGTGGTCCAACTTTTCCTAGTCCAGCACCCCCACACACACACACCCCCGCCCTTCCTGGAAGCAGGCATGTGGGACAGTTTAATTTGCTCTGTATGCCTCTGTTTCCAAGAGGTGCTATGCAGGGTTGGACTGAGAAGGCTCAGCATGAGTGACCTCTTGCCTGCTTTAAGTTTATTAGAAAACCCTAATGATGTAGGAGAGTGCTCATGTCACAGTCCTTTCTGGTCTGGTTCTGCCCCAGTTGTGCAGAGCACTTCTATCTGGAAGTGATGACTCCCAGGTGAGAACCACTGAGGTAAATTGAGGCAGCACAACAACAATTCTCAACCAGGGCTACTGCCAAATTCAGAAAAGTTGGGGAGGAGTTCTGGGACTCTAAAAAGGTTGAGAACTGCTGATCTAGAACCAAGTTAGGATGACTGCTGTTTGCTCAGCAGCTGAGTTGTTTGAGCAGGACTGCAAACAGGGATGACAAGGCCAAGTATCAGAACATCCTAGGAAGTTGCTACGTGCCACAGATGCATGATGGAAAGAAAAGGATTGTTAACAAAAGGCGGTGGTGAATGGCAATGATCACAAGGCAGCTTAAATTCATAAACCATGCCTGAGATGTAGGTGAGCTTTTGCTGCTGGTCTACAAGGTCATTTCAATGGAAACTTGTGGGTAGCTGGTTTTGAACTGTGTGGGAAACTCATTAGCTAGTTGACAAGTATCTGAACAGCACAGCAGGGTTCTCTTTTAGTTCATTTGATATTTGGTACTTTTTGATCAAGGTCTGCAGCTGGTTAGGGGTGCTTTTGAAGCTATAATTGCCACTTGAGAATTCGGATGAACTAGTGACCAAAAACACACTTCCTCCTCAGTTCTTTGCAATCCTGTATTTATGAACTGGACCTTGCCACGGTGGCCTATGCTTTCTTGTTATGAGAATAGAATTATGGAAGTGAGCTCTCCCATGCATGGGCTGGCTTGAAGAGCTCTGGAAACCATAGCCTTCTTGTACGCACTCAAAACTGCTTCCTGTTCCAGTGTTACTTGGATTAGTCAGATTAATCTAAGCAGGTTTTATGGCTTGATTCCTGACTTTCCTGGGAATATGATTGAACTATTGGAGGGAAGAATTATTCAGCAAAGGCCGCCTTTTCTCACTTGTTCCACAAGTCCAGAGTGCCATCTTTAGGTGGCTATTCACTTTTCAGATGTATGAGAGGTTTGGGAGTCATTATTTATTTTGTTTATTTGTTTTCTTTTTTCCTGTGTACCTGGAAAGGGTGTGCTGTATTAATTTTCTGACTTAAATTGGTGTTGTTAGTGGGTGAGGAAAGAGATGGAGGTCTTTTCTTACTTCATCCTACCATTTTTATTCACTTTTTCCAGTTTTTATATGCTTTGAAAGTATAGTGCTTCCTTGTTCTCTGTAGTGGCTCAACCACTTGAAGTTGTCAGATGATGTTAGATAGATGGGGGTACCTTGAGGTCTCTGCAGAGGCTCAGAGTAGTGGTTGTGTGGTAGATTTGACCAGCTGATGTTGGGTATCCCAAGATAAATATTTTTGGTTGGAAAAGGCAGAGAGAGCAGTTGGGTGGGAGAAAAAGCTCAGATCTACAAATGGGTGATTTTTATCTTTCAGACTAGAAGGCAGGGTAGATAGGCCAACTACCTTTGTTTTAGATTACATCCTCCTGAAATTCTTTCACAAGAGAAGGGAGAGCTGAATTTTAAAGGTTTGGCTCAGTCAGATAGAGAGCTGAATTTCAAGCCAGTTCCGAGATATACAAAAGCAGCAGATGTCTGCCAT